GTTGAAGTCCTCACCCCCAATACCTCAGAATGTGACTATATTTGGAGAGGTAATTAAAGTAAAATGAAGTATTAAGGCAAGCCCTAATTCACTATGATTAGTGTCCTTTTAAGAAGAGATAAGGAGGCCGGTTCTTGGTGCACACCTGTAATCCCAGGGGTTTGGGAGGTGGAGGCAGAGGGATGAGACTTCAAAGCCAGCCTCAGCAATTTAGGGAGGCACTAAGCAACTCAGTGAGACCCTGTCTCTAATAAAATACAAAATAGGGCTAGAGATGTGGCTCAATGGTCAAGTGCCCCTGAGTTCAATCCCTAGTTACCACCCTGTGCGCCCCCCTCAAAAAAAATGAAGAGATAAGGATAAAGAGAAGCAACCATGTGAAACCAGGGAGGAGATGATCTTCTACATTCTAAGAATAGGCCTCAGAAGAAAAAGACCCTGCTGACACCTTGATCTTGGACTTGTATTCCCCAGGACTTCGAGGAAATAAATTTCCAATGTTTGAGTCACAATCTGTGGTCCTTTATTTTGGCAGCCCAAGCAAACTAATACAAAGATATAACTGCAAAAATTAAATTTTTCTTCCACCAAAAAAAAAAAAAAACCCTATTTGAGATAAACATATTTGTGTGATCTTCATATATAGGTATAAATCACTAGCAGTTTTTATTCTAAGAAAGTTGAACTTTCACCTAACAATTATTCATTGTAACATCCCTCCATGATTTTTTTTTTTTTTCCATACTGGGGATTGAACTCAGGGGTGCTTTACCACTGAGCCACATCCCCAGTCCACATCCCCCATCCTCTCACTAAGTTGCTTAGGGCTTCACTAAGTTACTGAGGCTGGCTTTGAACTTGCAATCTTCCTTCCTCAGTCTCCCAAATCAGTGGGATTACAGGCGTGCGCCACACCATGCCCTGCCCTCACAATTTTAATAACTGAATTTTACATTTGTATAGTACATCAAATTCAAATTTCATTCATATTTGCTAGTTCATCTGATACCCTCATCTTTTCTATGAAAGGCAGAGACAACAAGAAGCAAATCCCATGGCCTGGGTCATGGAGCTTTCCATTAAATCCCAATGCTTTCCAAAATTTTAGTAAGGTGCCCCATTTCAGTAAAAACAGAATTAAAATTTACTTTGTATCTATACTTACAAAAAACCTAGTATTTCAAATAATGGAAAAGACATGCTTAATCTAAATAAAATAGTACATTGAAATAAATTAATTTTTAAAAAATAAACAGCCATTATTTTCTGAGAATTTACAATTTGTCAGGCACAGTTTTAAGGCAAGTTACATGAATTAATTCAATCCCTCAAAACTTGAGGTAGGTACTAACTGTATTTCTAAGACACAGAAACTGATGAGTACTTTATCCAAGCTAGTAAATGGAGAAGTCAGGATTTGAACCCAGGAAAGATTGACTCCAGAGCCCATGATCTTAACCACACAACAAAGTGAACCAGGACACTATCCAGCATAAGTTATCATAGTTTTGAAGTCAGATGGGCTTAAATTTTTTTTAAAATATTTATTTTTTTAGTTTTCGTTGGACACAAATCTTTATTTTATTTGTATGTGGTGCTGAGGATCGAACCCAGCCCCGTGATGGGCTTAAATTTAACACAGGCTCAGCTACTTCCTAAGTGTTATCTAGACAAGCCTAATCTCTCTCAGATTTCTCATTTAAAAATAGAAATAATTAAATGGAACAATGATGTAAAACCATTAATTAATACAGTGTCTGGTACTTAAGGTATACTAATTGTTAAGCCCTCACTGTTACTATTGCTATTACTTTGAAAGATGTACAAAAACAATACATTGTTTAATTTGGGAATTCCAAGCAAAAAATGTCAAAATGTCCTCTTCTTTCATTGAATTTCTTTACTTCTTATTATTCTAGAAGTGCACATATGATTCCAATAATCTCATTTCCCATAAGGAGTTAGGAAACAATAAATCAGATTCAAAGTTCTATAAGTCTTAATTAATTAACAGAAATGCCTAATAACTTTGGAATGGACATAGCATAATTAAGACTTCAAGAGATTCTGGACAAGGGCTGGGGTTGTAGCTCAGCAGTAGAGTGCTCACTTAGCACATGTGAGGCCCTGAGTTCGATCCTCAGCACCACATAAAAATAAATAAAGATATTGTGTCCAACTACAACCAAAAAATAAATATTTAGGGGAAAAAAAGATTCTGGACATAGCTTAAGCATCCAACATCTAAAAAAATCACCAAAATATTTAACTTTTATTGAATCTTTAAAAAAAAACTAAGTTCATAACTTCTCTGGGATTTTACAAGATGGTCATCTTCTTGCTTATTTATCATTTTACCCCTTATTTCAATCTTTAAAGATTTTTTTTATTATTCTCACTCTTCCTGATTTCTGATTTGATCATATTTTCCTTCAATCTCCATTTTCCAGATAATACTTCTTTTGTAATCATAAGGAAGTCAGTTCTCTTTTCATCTACTTCTAATTTCTCTGGATCTTTCTAATTTTTTGGTACTGGAGATTGAATATGGGGCACTCGACCACTGAGCCACATCCCTAGCCCTATTTTGTTTAGATACAGGGTCTCACTGAGTTGCTTAGAACCTCACTTTTGCTGAGGCTGGCTTGAACCTGCCTGAGCCTCCTGAATTGCTGGGATTAAGGCATACACCACCACGCCAGGCTCTTTTTCACTTTTGAAGCTTTGTTTTTTTTGAGATGAGCCAAGAGTCCTCACTAACATCTCATCTCTTAGATCCTTCATCTGAAAGATGAGAAGACTGCACTAGATAAGTTTGTAATAGGGTCCCTTTTATCCATAAGCCTCATATTTCCCTGGTCTTCCAAATAACTAGAAATCATTCAGTAATCTTACCATGCATGGTGGTACATGCATACAATCCCAGCAACTCAGGAGTTTTAGGCAGGAAGATCCCAAGTTCAAGACCCTGTCTCAAAAATTTTAAAAAATGTATAAAGGGCTGGGACATTTATTAGCTCAGTGGTAAAGTGTCTCTGGATCCAATTCCAGTACTAAGGAAAGAATAGAATAGAATGAATCATTCAATAACCCAATAATTCCCCTAAACTTTTACTGTCAGTTAGCCAAAGGAGTCATAATGTTTAAGGCTAACAAAGGAAAAGCATGACATTTTGTGAATCACCAGAAAAAAGATGGATTAATAAGAGAAATCAAACACCCAAAAAGATGCCAAAGACAGGGAAAAAGTCAGAAGCACATAGCCTAACTTTAACCTCTTCTCCTTACAAAGATTCAAAAGGGCAGTAAGAAACAGAAAAAGCTTTTAGCAGAGTACAGGTCATCCAGGCCTCAATTCTGACTTAACAGAGGGATGCAACTCTGTGCCACATATGCAACATTGTTGATGAAATGACCTACTACAGTGTGGTGCACAAAATTGGCATTACCTGGATTAATGTCCAGCTGTACTGAAAGACTTTATGAATGCTACTAGTACTCCTATATACCAGAGAAAGTGAGCACTCAAGACTATGGAAAGTACATGGGATTGGCTGCCCTGGTTCTGAGGGGAGGAAGACTGAGCAAGCTGGGAGAAGGGAGATTTGGCCTTCAAGTATAGCTTAAACTCTGAGGATATGCAGTCCCCAGAAGGAAAAGGACATATTAACTAGGCACAGAGAATCTTTATACCACCAAAACAACGAGAATGTAAAAGTCATTTCCTGCCCTAACAACAGGATTAAAAAAAGCCCTATCTTTTCTCATACTGCCTTCCAGAGAGTCAGGAGAGGAGTAAGTCAATAAAAGGATAAAGTTTGCTAGACCTGGTGGCACATGCCTGGAATCCATGCGGCTTGGGAGGCTGAGGCAGGAGGATCACTTTCGTGTTCAAAGCAGCCTCAGCAAAAGCAAGACACTGAGCAACTTAGTGAGACCCTGTCTCTAAAATAAAATACAAAATAGGGCTGGGGATGTGGCTCAGTGGTCAAGTGCCCCCAAGTTCAATCCTAAGTATAATAATAATAATAATAATAATAATAATAATAATAATAATAATAATAATAATAATAATAATGTTTTTAATATGCCCAGCCCAATTCAATGGTGGTTTTTCAAGGTGTGGTCCCTAGATCACCAACAACAGACCAAGAGAAAGTGTCTGCTTAAAATGCAGACTCAGAGACCTACAACAGAACTCTAAAATCAAACTTCTGAGAGTGGTGCTAGGGTACTGTAACCTTAACAGAGAGCAACCTTGTTTTCAGAACGACTGCCTGGATTTTAAGAGTGGAGTAATGGGGGGTGGGGTGGGTACTGAAGGTGAAGCTCTGCTTCAGAATTCATCATATCTGATTGATATTCCAACACTGCTTGCGGGGTTAAAAACTCCATTTCCCAGGCACCAGATGCAGCTAATGGTTTAACACGAACAAGGACAAAATTAAAGGACTTGGAAATGTATTTCCCTAAGCTTTACATTCCCTTCAAAGGATGATCTTGTTAGTTTGTTTACTGGATCCTTCTTTTAAAATCGATCTAATCCAAGAATTTTCACAAAGAATCACAAATTCCAAAACAGGAGAGGTTTTCTGATAACGCCTAACTGGGCTCGTAAATCCGAAAACAGTGTGTGCTATGAAAAGTGGGGTTTCGTTTAAAAGAAAATTACAGGTTAAAGCGCTCTCCAGTTCTTCAACCCGAAGAGCCTCGGAAGACGGCGAGTCATTTGTGTGGCAGGAAAAGAGACTTCGGAGCAGGGGTGAAAGGACCGAGCAAAATGCACTCCACTCCAGGCAGAGTTCAGGGGGAAGTCCGACCAACTACATTATTTTTAATGGCTCAATTAATTGCCAAGGCAAATTAATCGCGCCTGCAAACGCGCTGTCCGTGAACACTCCGGGGTCCCCGTCTTTCCTCGGGCGGGATAACCCACCGAGGCCTGCGGCAGGCAAGTTGTACTTCGGCCGTCCCCGGACGGTGTGGACCTCCTGGCCCCAATGCGAACCCCCGACGACGCCCGACCCTCAGACTTTACCCTGCGGACCGCGACAGCGCCCGTCACCCATCTGCCGCCGCTTCTCGGCGCCGACCGAGTCCGCGGCCTTGCCGTCCAGGGTCAGGGCCGCCGCTGGAGTCGGCCTGCGCGGCGTCCAGAGGAGAGGGCCCCCGACACAAAGGCAACCCTGGGCCACGCCCGACCCGTCCGGCCCGCCAGCCACTCACTCGTAGCTCCCCACCGCGCTCCCGCGCTCGGGGCCGGAATCCGCCCGGGAGGCGCGCGCAGGCCGCGCCTCCACCAGCCGCCGCCGGGACCGGCAGTGCCGCAGCGGCGCGCCCCCCGCCCTGGCCCGCGCGGCCACGCGGCTGAGTCACCGGGCGCTTCAAGTTAAGAGTCCCCTCTGCGCGGGGCACTCTGGGAAGGCCGCGCCGGAGCCTCCCGGTCCCCGCCGCCCCGCGGTTCCCTAGTGTTCGACTCCAGTCTACCCCGAGCCGGAGGAGGACGCGCCCACCCTACTCCGCAGGGTTGGATTCGGTGTCTGCGCTGCGGAGACCCTCCTTCAATTATGGCAGGTCTAAGATGGGAAAGTTAGTCGTTTTCTGAACTGTAACACCGGCTCCCTCAGCCCTCGGACTGCTGACGCTGACCGGAAGATGCGGGGCGGGGGTGGAGAGGTAGTAAAATTGAGCTCCTTAAACACATTTGGCTTGAAAGCACCTTCTGGATATGCATTCTGGTCAAAAGAAAGACAATATATATTATTTTCTCAAAATAAGAGTTTCATGAAACTACCAGCGATAGACAAGTTGATATTCAAATCAACTGAAGCGCTTACCTTGAAATGTTGTTGAGGGCAGGACATCCCTTCCTCTCCCACCCATATGCCAAGACAATCTCAAAACTGTCTTTTTAAAGTACACAGAATGCTCAGTTTGAGATTCCAGAATCAAATTAAATTCTGAAAATAGAAGACCGTAAGACGCTGGAATGGGGTAACCAGGAAATGTAGAAGTGTGTTCCCCTGGGCTCCTGCGGAGGCTGAGCGTAAGCTGATAACATGTTTATCTCACTATCCCCTTACTGGTTTGCAAACAGACTCTGATGGCCCTATCCCACACGCCAGCCCTGATGGCTCACGTTGCCACTTGTTTGTGAACACACAGGTCTCATTCTTGAACCCAATTCTGAGAATGCCGGGAAGGTTTTTGTAACTTTATATGAGTTTTAAATAAACGTCATTTGAAAGGAAAATAAATACACAAGCTCCAAAGCACATTTGTCATATTAGGATTTGAACAGTGAACTTTAGGCTTACAAAGACTTGGGATGCCCACAGGCCACCACAAACACAAAACTAGCTAACCAACCTTCCTAGCTTCCTTCTTTTTCTTCTTCCCTCCCTCCCTCCCCCTCTCTCTTTTCCCTCCCTCCCTCCCCCTCTCTCTTTTCCCTCTTTCCTTCCTGTTTTCTTTTTTTGAGTGCTGGGAATGGAACCTAGGGCCCCATCCTAGGCAAGTTCTCTACACTGAGCTTCATATCCCCAGACCCATTAAGTTCTTTTACTTTGATCCATAACTGAAAACTTGCAAAGTCTGTTTACAAAGCCTGTGTCCTGGTTTCCAACCTTCACTAATAAACTTCAGAATGAAAAACAAAAGATAACTAGGTGGGTTCAAAAAGCTTCCTTTGCTTCTTAACCAGGAGCCTAAATAAAACTTACTCCTAGTTTATGCAGAATTGTGATGCCCACCTGGAAATAAATTAGTGTTTCTGAAAGTACAGATGAAACAAACAAAAAAGCATGAAGTGATATTCATATTCATAAAGAATTTTTTTGTACTGGGAATTGAACCCGGGCACTAGACCCCTGAGCCACAACCCCAGCCCTGTTTTGTATTTTATTTAGAGATAAGGTCTCATTGAGTTGCTTAGCTCCTCTCTTTTGCTGAGACTGGCTTTGAATTTGTAATCTTTCTGTTTCAGCCTACCTAGCCACTGGGATTACAGGAGTGCGCTACCACGCCCCCCTCATAAGGAATTATTGATAGAGTAAATAAAATATTGGCAAAAAGAGCCAGATGACCTCGAACTGAGGCCATTCCATCTCTGACTAAACAGATCACATGGAAGCTTAGGTTTCCTAATCTGTAAGATGGTAACTAACCTACATTTGCCATCAGGTTGTTAAGAAGAAGAAAAAGTGATCAAAATGTATGCAGAAGTATTTTATACCCTGAAAACATTAGAGAAACTTAAGATACTATTAGTGTCAATACTATACACACATCCCATTCAAACTAACATTATCTCTGAAAGGAACACCCAAGAACTCTTTTGTTGGGTAAAATCATCTTCCCTTATGCCAACCTTAAATTTTTTTATGTCAAAATATACTGGTTTCCGGGTTGGGGATATAGCTCAGTTGGTAGAGTGCTTGCCTCACATGCACAAGGCCTTGGGTTCAATCCCCAGCACCACCAAAAAAATACACACACACACACACACACACTGGTTTCATGAAACCTGGCTCAATGGTGCACACCTATATTCCCAGCGACTCAGGAGGCCGAAGCAGGAGGATCATGAATTCAAAGCCAGCCTTCAAAATTTAGCAAGGCCCTAAACAACAATCCTGTCTCTCAAAATAGAAATAAAGAGAGCTGGGGATGTGGCTCAGTGGTTGAGCACCCCTGGGTTCAGTTCCTGGTACCAAAATAATAATAATATTTAAAAACATATATGTATTTATACTGCCTTCCTTAACAAATGTCATGATGCAGATTGGTAGAGTGCTTGCCTCACATGCACAAGGCCTTGGGTTCAATCCCAAGATTGAATGAAAATAAAAATATGTTATAATTGTAAACGAAAGCTCAGTCCTTGTCCCTAATACCAATCCAATAATGAGGACTTGATTTTAAGAAAAAAGGAAAAAGAAGGTCTATTGCTTTTTTAGCAAAGGAGAATCAGGGGATTCCTGTCCCAAAGGATGTGATTTTCCTCATCAGGAGGGACAAGGGGTTTTTAGAGGAACTCTTGAAGGGTTACATTCCAGGTGTGCTCTGAAAAGGGGTCCCAGTTCATGTTAATTTGGGAGATAATTCACTTCCCAGATCCTCGGCAGGCATCTCATTCCTGTAGTAGGTATGTTCAAAGGCAATTAACTAGGGGAAGGAAAAGTAAACACTATCTCCTTAATCTTGTTAGGGAGGAGGAGAGTGGAGAAGAGAGAACAAAAACAACAACAACAAAAAAAACCATGTTCTTTTAAAAAATAAGCCTTAGAGCAATGAGGGCTACCATCAGAGAAGATGAAGAGACCACTGTTAAATTTCCTCACTGTTAATTTCTATCCTCCAGTTCTATGGAAAAGTGGGTAAGGACATCTTCAAGGTACTTCCTGCTGAGAATGAGCAACCAGAGGGGTCTTTATAATGGAAGGTTTTTACTTGTTGTTGTCACTCTTTCTTCTGTCTTTGGTTGCATAGTTGCAAAGGGAGGAGCCACAACAAAAAAATAAACAGAAAACTAGTACATAGAGGCACTGAGGTGGAGGAGGCCTAGTAAAATAGACTTAATCCCTCTTGGTATCCAGGAAGAGGCCAGAGAACCAATCAGATACGCCTAATTTCATCCCAGCCAAAAGGGATGTGTAGTGGTCAAGGGTTTTTTTGCAGCCAGGTTGCTTGTTGCCTGATCTGTTCAATACTAGTCTCTTGTGAAGTGGTGTTAATATAAACAAAGCAGGATCTATTAGCCTTAGCACAAACTCCCCTTTGCTCTGCTAACAGATGGTCTAAAGCCATTCTGTTATCCAAAACTACTTTGACCAAAGCATTCAGAGAGGCTTGTGAATTTGAAAGGGACAAGGCTGTTCATTGGCCAGAATGATCAAAGTTTTGGACACATTTCAGAGGACCCAATCATGGGCCCCATCTCCCCACCAGGGTAATAAAGTGTAGCCAAATGAAAATACTCATTGCCATCAGGGATTCCCCCCATGGGAGGTCCCTAGCCCATCAAATAAGTAGCTTTATCAAGCTTGTTCAATGAGCAGATTCACTTAAAGAGTGAATTGAGAATGGTGTCACTAAATTTCCTAGAAAACATTGGGTGGGAGTTGTGAAGTTTCTGAGGCATTCAGTAGCCCACAGATAATTATTCATCTTTCAGCTAAACACATGTCCTGCAGGGGCACAGAAGACCATTGTTTCTTTAAAGGAATCCAGTTGGGCTCCAATGAGGAAGGAATCCCTGACTTAAATCCTACGCATTTGATCCAGGAATAATGTGGGAAGGAAAAAATCAGATACTGCTATAATTTTCTTTGTATAAAATTGGGTAACCTTGTGTACACACAGAGGTAGTTGCTCTTGCTCAGGAGAGGGTCTCATTTCAAGATACTCTGGATTTTGTATTCCCCTATGGACCAGGTAAGTGATATTAGAGGCAACAAGAGGAAGAGGGAGATGGGAATTTTAGAAACAGCTTCAGCTGGTAATGCATTACTTGAACACAATACATAATGGTGTGGGCTCTGAGGTCCCATGTTGGTGTCCAGTCTCCATCTGGGATCTGAATGAAGTTTGTAACTGGATGTGCAAAGGGGTCACCATGGTCCACAGAGGATCTGGCCCTGGGAAGACAGAGCCAGCAATAGCTGCATGAGTCGAGGTAGTCAAGGTCTCTGCTATTCTGACCAAACTGTTGTCCTCCAAGCCTAGATAGGGGAAAACAACTGAGTTAATGAAAACATAAAATCTCTCATTGTGTTTTTTCCTGAACAGGTATTTTAAGTCCCCTAAGGGTCATAATGTCCATGTGGGAGAAGGAGCTTCTGCCAAGTCTCTTGGGCTGTTCTTCTCTCTAGTGTGGTGTGGACCCAGGGTTTCATTCCAGAGAGCTTCAGAGATGTGTGAGTTGTCTGAAGCATGTCATAGGCCCTGGCCATTTTGCTCCCAGTTGGTGCTATGGCCCCTGTTCTTTCCAAATCTTGAGTAGCACCTGGTCCCCAGACTGCAAGGGATGCAGAGGTAATTCTGAATTTGGAGGGGACCTGGTTGAAGTATACTCATGCACAGTGGTTCATATTTTTTTTTTTTTTTAAAGAGAGAGTG